ACCCCCTCAGGTCAGGGTTATGTTTGCATTTAAATCACAACATATCAACTAAGAATAACCTTATTCAGATATGAGGTGTCCTGTTGTAGAACAGGAGGAAGCGACATTATATAGCATCAGAGTTTAGGTTTAAAAAATGTTAAATTTCTAAAATAATTTTATACATAGATTTCCATTTATTTTCGATAATTATATACATAGGAGCAGATTTATCTTAATAAGAAACATTACACAGTAAGATAAACATATTACCATAACATTAGGTTTCTTATAAGTTTAAAATCTTCTGAAACAGCAACTCAGTAAAATGTTTAAAACGTCCTCTAGGCTATAAAGAGTATTGCATTCTTTAGGTGGCTGCCTTCTGACCAAGTTTAACTCTGGTTTTTTGTAACAAAAGACAAACTCATCCGCCTGCAGCTACTTCTAGGTGAAGTTGAGTACTGTGTTCTTCAGTATGCAACTTAAAAGATCTCTGGCCAGCAGACTAAAATGTTTGTTTTGTAATTGCCTGCCGAACTAGGATAGTTTGTTTCCAGATGGTGCCCTTCCTTCAACCTGCACAGTCTCTCCTTGTTCCGAGCTGTTCAGCCTCCTGCTGATCCCACTCCCCCCACCCCTATTTAAGGCCACAGAGAGGAAATCCTAGGGAGGAGACTGCCCCACGCCCCCAGTCTCCAGCAGTTTTTTGGTGACGTAAGATGTGGGCTGAACTTGAGTCTACTGAGAAAGAGGGAATCACTATTCAAGGGCACTGTACATACAATCTGGGTCAGCTGCAGCTGGTTACTGCGTTTCTCCATGTGGCAGACAGAGCAAAGCCACAACGATTTCTCCGCTGGATTAAAGACAGCCCACAGACCAGAACGTCCACTCCACTACTTAAAATTACATAGGTGGCTTGTCAAATTCAATTGATTAGTGTTGTAAGAAGAAAAAGAAGTTCCTTATTACAGCTTGGATTCGACGGCCCACAACAAAGATGCAGTTGCCATTAAAGTCACAGACGAACAAACTCCTACACTGACTTGTAAAAGCAAGAATAAGAGCGGCAAGTTTCTGGGTTTACGTTATCAACAGATGCAAAAGGTATTTTAATGCTTTTACTTTTATTTAAAAATCCTAACATATGTCAAAATGCATAATTATTTTACATCTGTCATAGGAATTTCAAAATCTCGTATTAAACAAAGATTTTGGAATACACTAAAATTTATTTAATCTGAAAAAGGTTTTGTTTTGCAACTTTATGTAAAACCTGGTCATTATGAACTTTATGAAGATTAATGCATTATTTGAGAGTCAATTTAATGATATTCAGTGACATGCTTAAAGATTAACGCATATATGCTGGGTTTCAGAAAACAAGTGCTTTGGTGACACTAGATAGAAATGTTAACTTAAAGGTTAATGTATAAGGTTTATATTTAAAGCATAGTTATGAAAAACAAAGGGATACAAACTTAAAGAATACAGCTATAAACACTAGTCTTCCTCCTGTAGCTACAGTGTGTGCTGAAGATTTATATACTGTTAGATGTCTTAAACTACAGCTAAAGAACACAGCTAAGAAGATATAAAACTAACTGAAAGGCTTTGCAACAATACCTCAATTACAGTATAACCAAATATAAGCAGAAATCCTTGTAATGATTTAAGACAGATCTATGATATTTCTTGTTAAAATTCAAAATTTTTACATCTTCCCAGATTTACATGTAACAGTAATTTAACTTGGGTAACAGAAGTAAAAACTATTGTAACTGGAATTAACTGAAAAAGCAAAGTTATTGATACATTAAAAAAAAAACCTAAAACCTTACAGATTAGAAGTGGGCAGAAAATGTGATAAAAGTATTATGTAACCCAGCATTAACAACAGAAAATAAAACCCCGAAGATACAGTCACTTAAATACATGATTAAAAGATAGAAAACTAAGAATTTTATATAGAAATAATTTTGGTAACCATATGCAAGAGGTTTCTTTCAATATTTCATCTGGGGGCTTTAATTGCATTGTGAGAATTATTAACAATAAAATTACTAGTTACTAATTAGTACGCTTTAACACCAAAGATATTCAGGTTTATTATGATTTGGGGATCCTCTGTCCTTTCAAACATTAAAGATACTAATTGTAAGAATCTTCAACAAGCAAATAATGGTAAAACTAAGACTTCTCCTACTCTACTTTCATGTCCTTTCCCTGACATTCTTAACTCTAAATACAGGGAGGATCTCTGTGAAACGTGTTTCACAAGGTATTCTGATAAAATTTCCAAGCAATACCAGATCTGAAAGACTTGTCATCTTTTCGTTGTTTGCTATGAAAAGTGCAGGACCTCATTAAGTCTCAGTTCTTACTGAAGCTTTAGGGAAGCATTTAGTCTAAAACCCAAAGCACACAGATAGCCAGTCTCTTCCCAGAGCACAACACACAATCTAGAAGTTCTTTATCTAAGGTATTTTCAATGCTTCCTAAATTCAAGTTCGCTGCCTCCTGCTGTTTTCAGGGCACGACACAGGCAGTGAGGTGCCTCTATGCGTTTACCATTGGAAAGGAAGTCAGTCTTCACTTATTTCTCTCTCTACTAGCTGGCAATGCAGCAACTATGAAGAGAAAAAGTACCAATAAAGTTAACCCAAAGCATGGAAGGCTTTTTTCCTCCTAAAAACAACCAAGCAAGGACAGATTTAAACTTAAGTATACTGTAACTAATTTATAACACTCTCTTGGGACCTAGGAAAATTTTAACATACACAGAAAGGTTTTATGAGGTAACACAGATTTATGGATCTTTCACTTTTAAAACTGAACATATGTGGGAAAATATTAAATAAGAGAATGCTTCAGAAAATGTAACAGTAAATGTATTTTTAAAACCAGTTCTTTACTCATGACGTAGCTCAGTCTACTACTTAAAAATTTGGCTCCTTACTCTGTTTTAGATGACAACAAAGTCAGTACACTTTTGTAAGGATAGGGAATTACATTTATTTAAAAAAGTAAATTTTAGTTGCCTCCTTTAGGTGCTAGTTTAGGTGAGGTTCTCTTATGGTAGACAGTGACTTAGATTATTACTTAACTGTACAGGGACCCACAGAGAGCCAAGGCAGATATACCGAAAGGAAGCTATTGCTATTTTAATGCAGATTCACAATTTTACATCTTTGTTCTGTGACAACACTGATGCAGTCACAACAGTCTTGGATTATGTGCTCTTAGCTGTTCTATAAAAACCTGTGGTGGGAACACAAGCTTTTCAAATAGAATATTGTTCATAAAGTTCTACTTGTTTTGAAGTTTCACGCTACCTTCTAAATTTTCCTTGTTTAGGTAGCTTATTTCATAGATTATTAAAATGATTTTGTGACCTAAGAGTTTCTGTTGTTCTGAAGGTGAAATGAGGGGTCTGAGCACTAAGTGAGTAACTAGAGGAGAAATCCGTGCACTTACCCAGGAAGCTGAGGGCTCCTATTTCACTGCCCTGAGTTTGTTTTGTCTGTTTACTCACTTATTTTTGCCCTCAGTTTTTAAATTAAACCACATCTAAATTCCATGAATCCACAAATATAACGAGAAATCTTTTATTGGTTTTTGGTGTAGGTAGCTCTAGGTAGTAAGAGTCCTTTTCAAAATAAAATAGAAGACTCTTAAGGTCTAAATTTTCTACTGATGTCATAAGGCAAAGTATGAAAACAAAGAACTAAAAGTATTCCCCCAAGTGTGCCTTTGAGGATCAGTCAGCAGCCAAAGGCCTTTCCCGTAAATATCACTATCCTTGTCCTTCCTAATGAAATTATTTTGTAAAAGGGCAGTAACTCCCCATACTCCACCCATTCTTTATTTTCATTACCGGACTCCCATTTTGTGAAAAACGAGAGACACAAAGTCAAGACTCCCTGTTGTTAGGACCTGACTAGGCTAAAAACCACAGATCTAGAAAAGTTACAAGATCTGAATCCCTGAGTGTTTAAGCTTCTCCAGGACTTGATTCCTTTGCAAAATGGTGTGAATGCAAATAATTAACATGGGTCAAGTAAACATAAATATAGGGGATTGTTGTGATGCTGCTGACAGAAAACAGGAGAGAATATGTTGCCATGTGATGTAGCGGTTAATGAAAAATACGGACCCTGGAGTTTCTGCCTGGGTTCAAATTGTGGCTCCATCTCTGAGAAGCAGGTCAGGCACTAACTTCTGGCTGCCAGTTTCTTCATGTGAAATTGAAGATGGTAATAATCTACCTCTGGGGGTTGTAGTAAGAAGCAAATGATTTAATACATGTGAAGGGCTTACAACCATGCCTGGCACTTAGCAGGCATGCAGTAAGTGTGAACTCTGGTTATTATTGCATTATAATCATTGATAGCAGGCTTGCTTCTCAAATAAGAGACACTCGGGTGGAAAACGGGGCAGAAAAGCTCTGTCTTAAGCATATCCACTGCCATCCTTCAAAAAGAGCAGACAGGAATCCAGTTTATAGGAGTGGGAAGGTGGGCTGCACTATAGCAGGTGCCATGAACCTGATGGAGGGACACGGTCATTCTGCTGCTCCTCCTCTTTAGGGAGGTAACTACAGAGAAAGGGAGAGGTTTTGCTTCTTGGAACTAAACTAGTGCTAGTGTTTCCATAGAAACTGTACCACAGAGGACAAGTATTTCTCATCTGCCACAGCAAAAACAAAACATGTTTTAGTGTATGTGCCACTGCTATAAACACTCACTGAAGAGCCAGGGAACCTGAATTCTTGACCTGGCTGCAATATCACCTTCTTGTGTGGCCCTGACCTTCACTATGCACCTGGGCACAGAGAGATTCTTGAATGAGGTGGTCTCTAAGGCACTTCCCAACTCTAACAATCACATTCAATTACAGGTAGTTCCTTTCCTTAGTAACAGTTATAGGAAATTAACATTTTACTAAAATACAGTTCAGCAGAACCTGTTAGAAGAATGAACGTGCTGAATTATATATAAGCTTAGAGCATATACAATATTATGGTTGAGAAACACGACTACCCACAATAATGACTGTAAGCATTCTATCATTCTTAAACTGGTCCCCAATTCTAAAAGGACATGCTACCAAAACAAAAATATGATGCTAAAGCTTTTCCGCTTTAGCTTTATCTAAAAATGTTTCTTTATTCTGATAGTTTAAAAAGATATTTATTGAGAAGACTAATTTAATTGAAACTGCACAATATAAATATAAAACGTGGACTAATAGTCATCTAGTAACTTTAACACTAGTTAGGGAGCAATGTTTGAAATAATGTCTTACAAATACTGTGTGCATTTTAAGAGTTTTCAGACAGTGAGCAAGCTTTTTAAAGGTCAGAAAAGTCTCTGCCCACAATAGGCACTCCTGGAGCTGGGGAACAAAAAGCAGTAAGGCAGCACCTGGAGAGCTAGTCTCTGAAACCCAATTTTTACACAAATGTCAAGGCACTAAGATGGTGGACCTAAGAAATTAATAACAACTGGTCCAATTTATTAACAACTAGATAGATATTCAGTCTTCCCCTCAGATACTTTTTTTTATATTACTGACTTTAAAAGTAGACTGATGTTCATTCCTTTTACTTCTTCCCTTCATTGGTCCGTTTTTTTAGAAGACGTCACACAAGCTCATTTCAGAATGAAGGCTTTTATCTGGACCCTAACTGTGCTCCTCTTCCTAGTAATGGGCACCAGACACTGCAGAGGACAGTACAAAATAAAAAAAATAACCCAGAGGAGATACCCTCGTGCCACAGATGGTAAGGAGGAGGTAAAGAAATGCGCGTACACATTCCTGGTACCTGAACAGAAAATAACAGGGCCCATTTGTGTCAACACCAAAGGGCAAGATGCAGGGGCCATTAAAGACATGATCACCAGGATGGACCTGGAGAACCTGAAGGACGTGCTGTCCAAGCAGAAGCGGGAGATAGATGTCCTGCAGCTAGTGGTGGATGTGGACGGGAACATCGTGAATGAGGTCAAGCTGCTGAGAAAGGAGAGCCGGAACATGAACTCTCGAGTCACCCAACTCTACATGCAACTGTTACACGAGATTATCCGGAAGAGGGATAACTCACTCGAACTTTCCCAGTTGGAAAATAAAATCCTCAATGTCACCACAGAAATGTTGAGGATGGCAACAAGGTACAGGGAGCTGGAGGCGAAATATGCTTCCTTGACCGATCTTGTCAACAACCAGTCTGTGATGATCACTTTGTTGGAAGAACAGTGCTTGAAGATCTTTTCCCGACAAGACCCCCACATGTCTCCTCCTCTTGTCCAGGTAGTGCCGCGAAACATTCCTAACAGTCATCAGTACACTCCCGGGCTGCTGGCAGGTAATGAGATACAGAGGGATCCAGGTGATCCCAGAGATTTAATGCCACCACCTGATCTGCCAACTTCTCCCACCAAAAGTCCTTTCAAGATACCACCAGAAACTTTCTTCAATGAAGGTGAGTTACTGCTTACTGTTAAAAATGGAAGTATGGGGTTAATATGTTTTATAGTTGAGGAAACAATGCTCATAATAAATGCTTATTCCTCATTTTGGTGAGGTCTCCTACGCCTGCAAGGTCACAGGCGCCACACTGCTCAGGCGCCTCGGCCTGAGGCTCTTCCTCCTGGGGCAACGCAAAGCTGATGTAATATTAAAATTTCTATTTTTGTTTTCTATTAAGAATTAAAGTTAAATAGGTCTCTCAGCTCTAAGACTAATTAAGTATAAGTAAGTTTTCACTAGCAACCCTCTCCAAAACACAAAACCTCAAACCTAGAATTCATCCTAGTATCTCTACCTCTATTGCTTAATTTCATTCTTTCCTTCATTTATTTTCAGTCACTGATCTAGGTGCCTAGAATGCAAAAATAAATCATTCAGTTAGTAAGCTCACTGTGAACTTTGAGTATTTCACACCTGCACCCATTTTTTCCATAAGCCATTCTCCTGAATTCTTGACAAGTTTATTTGTTTCCACACAGTGGAAGGAAAAACCCAAATGCCCAAAAGCTAAAAGAGAGTAAATTAATTAAAAAAAAAGTAAATAAATCATAGTTCATTCACTCAAGAAAGGACATAAAACTGTGCATAGACTATGGTATGATTTTAAACAACAAAAACACAGAACAAAGACTGGAAATACATCATGAAGTGGTCATGTCCCTGCAGCCATGGACACAGCGACCACTCACATCTCTGCTTTCCTGAGCCTCTGTACCACATGCTGACTCCTCCTACTTCCCTGGGTCCTTCACTGGCATCTTGTCCTTCTACGGCTTAGAAAGGCTTTCAGGACATCCTGTTTTAGAGGTCTCCTATGCCTGCAGGCCATAGGCGCCACACTGCTCAGGCGCCTCGGCCTGGGGCTCTCCGTCCTGGGGCTCGGCAAAGCTGATGTCCGCATGTGGACACCACCGCCTCACACGCGGCTGCTTCCTCTAGCCAAGTGCCTTCTTTCAGCTCCTCTGCCAACCTGGCCAAGTTCAAGGCTTAACTAAAACAGGCTCTTAAATTCTATGCCTTCCCAGATTCAAACAAACATATCTCGATGGCTCTTTCCCCAAACTGCTGACTATGCCTTGCCCATGCTTTCTATGTCGTATTACACTGGCGTTATTTGTCCGCACAGCTGTCTTCCTGCTTCTGGAAGGAAGTGAACTGTCTTTTGCATTTATCTATCTCGGAACATCTCGTCAAGATCGGGTTTGGCATATTGCACTCAGCATGTTGTAAGCACTGTGATAAATACTCGAGGAATGAATGAATGACTTAGTAAGTTTAACATTATCTCCAGGAACATTACTTTCCCTCCACCTTATAAACAAAATGCTCGGGAATGACTACACTGGCAATTTGCCATCAATAAAATTCTTAACTGTTAATGTTATTCAGTGGCTGCACTTGAGGTCAGTCTTTTATAGAAGAAAACATCACTCTTTTTTAAATGTTACATTTTTAAAAGTTCATTCCTCATAGGTAAAGGGAGTTGAGAATTTCTTTACAGTGTGTTAGAGCACAGACCTAAAATGTCAGGAACCTTGGATTTGGGCAAGGCTTTTCTGAGGCCCAGCTGCCTCTTTTGTAAGAGATATGGTGATGAGTAAATGAGGTGACTCATGTGAAGAAATGATCTGTGTGTGGTCCGCCCATCACTGATTATTAACGTTTCTGTGTGCACTTCCCTATTTGTGCCTTGCCATCCATATATGGGGACACAAAGGGTAAGCTTAAAAAGTGAAACTTGAAAAAGTCATTAGAAACTAAAAGTATGCTTTTCAGTGCATAATAAGCTAATTTTCATGATTTAAAATGCTTCCTATTAGTAAATTTTAAAGATGCAATTGGTTTTAATGGAATACTTACATTAACAATTAAAACAAAAAAACTAAAGACTGTTTAAGGGAGCAGTTGGGATATGATTCTATTAACTAGTTATGAAAAGCAATTGATAAGTTCTTCAATAATTTCAAAAATAAAAGCTCGGGTTGCTAAATGCTTTTTGAACTTACAGATTAATAAAGTAATTTATATTATTACAAGAAAGAATCTATTATCACTTTATTATTACAAGAAAGAATCTATTATCACTTTAGGAAGTATCTGCCTCAAATTTCCCATTCCAGAAATGCTGTCGAATATATGTATCTTGTACTTAACTCACAACCCAATTAAACAGTTTATCTTTCAAAAGATTTTACTTGTTGACCAATTATCAGAAAGCTCTAAATTGGTGGGGTTTTTTGATTGTTCTTTTTTTTTTTTCGTCCTGTTTCTCCTATCACAGAGAGAACAGGATTAGGACAAAGTAAGAAAATAAATGAGAAATTAAAACACAAAAAGGGAAAGGTTCTCCTTTTAACTTAGGTAATTAAACAGTTTGTAGAAAATGGTTCCTGGTACAGGTGCTATTCAAAGTATGAAATCTTTTTTTTTTTTAATCCTCACCCGAGGATGTTTCCACTCATTTGAGATCGGAAGGGCGAGAAAAAGGAGAGGGAGCATCGACCGGCTGCCTCCTGTACGCACCCTGGCTGGGGTGGACCCCGCGACACTCTGGGCCACCTGGCCAGCCTAAAATCTTTTTTTTTAGTCCACTGCTCTGTTCAAGATACGGGTTATTTATGAGAAATACATACTGGGAAATGACAGGTCAGTATTTTTCTTTCTATGAATTAGATCTATTAACTAGAGTTTGTTAGCCCTATACAAACTTTAATCATCAAATAAACTGAGGGAGAGAGAGAGGCTGGTCCTTCAAATTCCATGTGCAGAATTCCAGTTTCTCGCCCAGAGGAGAGTCCAGTTGTGTGTCATGGGAGATGAAGACTGTTACAAGAGTACTCAATACAAGAAAAGGGTTAATAAAATTCCTATTTTAAAAGAAAGGTACTTCTATACCTGCTGAACCACTATGAACAAATTCCTAAATCATATGTCAATTAATTTATTTCTCATAATATGCAAATGAACAAGTTATATTTGATATCTCCAAAATAAAGCTGGTCCTTAACTGCTATCATTTAAGAATTCCCACTAAGCAATGCTTTTTATGGTACAGAGAAAGTAGTAAAACATTTATTATAAGAACAGTTTATATAATATAATTCTAGAGCAGAAAGTAAATAAGACATGCAAGTCATAATGAGAAAATATTTCTGCCAAGATCAACAGTACACACTGGCTAGGACAGATTAATGGCTTATCTATAAAATAAATATAAACAAATACTAAATTCTGATATTTACTGTCTTTACTGAGGAGGAAAAAAAATAGCAATAAGCACTATTTTTATTAATTTTATCCACATGTACTAGAGGAGGATTTCAACTAAATTTTCCTGACACTTCACATCAACTAAGTCTAATAGGCATCTAGGCATCCACCCTGTGAAGTCCACTACAAAAAAATGTGGGTTGAAAATTAACATTGAAGATAACTTTAAATTTGCATAAATGGAAGTCTTTTCAAATCAAAGCTAGATTTAGAAAACCCAGAACTCTCTAATTTGCTTAAATATCTGAGGGCATATGAAATAGGGGAAAAAAGGTATTTTAAAAATATTCTGTCAACATTCAAAACCTTGATGTTTCTAAATATTTTACAGCATTTCAAATAACCTCATGAAAGCCCAACTCATGAATGTATACTTAAATATTTATGTGTATTGCACCAAAACCACCTCATGCGACCATTAACTACAATACTAAGTTTTTAAAATTATTTTTTAAAATATCTTTATTGATTTCAGAGAGAGGAAGGGAGAGGGAGAGATAGAAACATCAATGATGAGTCATTGATCAGCTGCCTCCTGCACGCCCCCTACTGGGGATCGAGCCCACAACCCTGGCATGTGCCCTGACCAGGAATCGAATCCAGATTACCTGGATCCTAGGTCAATGCCCAACCGCTGAGCCATGCTGGCTGGGCACGACTATCTTTTAAACTGAGGAAATCAGTTTCTGCTCCAGTGTCTACTTCACGAGTCTAAGTAGCACCCACAGTCAATCACACTTCAGACTTACTGAACTCGTAACTCCTCTGTCTCCGTGCCTCAGCATGCAACCCATGTGTGGCCTTGATCTGACCTCGCACCCCCACTAGCCTAACTCCTAATCTATCTTCAAAACTCAGCTCAGATACAGGGAGACTCTGATCTCCTCCCCGCAAAGCTGGGTTAGCTGGTTCTTAGCCAGTGTTCCCATGCGCATGATTTGGATGCATAACTCCATCAAAGTCCTTGCCACGCTGTAATGAAATTCCCTCTGTACGTGCCACTCCCCTACTTCCCACTTGACTCTATGGTTGTTTCTTTACCACTTGAACCTAAAACAGTTTCTAGCCTATAGCAGAAACAGCAAAGACAGCTCTAGGAAAACTAATGCAGAACCGGGAAACTGCTGTGGCTACCAGGAATCATTTAGTTCAACAAATATGTGAGTGCCTAAGTGAGTTTCAAGTGTGGATCCACAACCAAATGATACAGTTTTTGCTCATGGAGAGTTCCATTGATAAACAAATGAATATATTAACCACACATTACACAAAATAATCTAAGAATGGACTTGGAAATCATACCTCACTTTTTCTCCCACTTCATTCCCACATATGAAATCGAAATTCTCTAAATTTCATCCTACTAGAAATACTACCTTTCTACTTGACTACAACGCATGTGTCTGTAAAGTGAAGGAGTTCACAAGCAATTAGCAAAAAAGGGAGACCAGCATCAATAAAACAGAGGTCATTTTAGTTCATATGGGGTTTTCCCAAGCATATCAATGTTTTGTGCCACAAGTTAACTGCAGCTGAACAGAAAGTATGCTAACGCTATGTTTAGTGCATGATTTGCAGAACATGGGGTTTTTCAGAAATACATTATTTTTCTACAGTAGAAATGACAGTACATTCATCTTTGATTAGCCACATTAAATTTATAAATGAAATAAGTATACATTTATTTATTAAATAAGCTACTTAAATTATTAAATAAGCCATGATTGTGTATCAAGGTCAGGAAGGAAAAAAGGGAACTAACAGTTACTGATGAGACTACTTTGTTAAGTGTTGTGTTAAAGGCTCTGAATACCTTGTAATTTAAATTCAATAACTGAGGTTTTACATTGAATATAAAAATAATTCACATTGAATTTATATGAAATGTGATCTAATTTATGGCCAGTCTGATAAACTCAAAACACTGTTTTTATCATAGTCCTCCCAGCTTAAAAACCTACTTAGGAGTTTTCAGACTAGCCAATATCCTCGTGAATATAAAAACAAATTCTTAACAAAACTTTAGCAAGTCAAATCCAGCAATATATAAAGATAGTAATGCACCATGACCAAGTTGAGGTTATCCCAGGGATACAAGGTTACTTTAATGTTAAAAATACAACCAACAGGATTCATCATGTTAACAAGTGGGGAAAAAACCTCCCCAAACCATCATCTCAGCAGATAAATTTAAAGCCTTTGACAAAATCCCAAACCCATTCATGATGAAAAGTTTCAGCAAACTAGAAATAGAAAGGACAAGAATTTTTAAAGTAGTTATTACAGCTTAAAGGAAAGTATGTTCATAATGATTTCAAGATTGGCCATCTTAGAAGAGAAATAAAAACTATAAAAGAGAATCAAATTCAAACTCTGTAACCAAAAAACTGAATACCTAAAATAAAAATAACCCAAGAAAGACTGCATTCTTTCCAGTTTCTCAAATTTTTCACTAGTAATCTGTACTGCTGATGGATACTGAATCCTAATTTTTAAAAACCTGAAACATAAATATCAATGAAACAATAAAAACCTGGACTAGAGAAACCTGTCATCTCTTGATTTTTGTGTGTGGTTTTCAATTTCTGTGTATTTAAAATGTGAAGGCAAGTTCATTGATTCATTTACTTAACAAAAAATTACTGATGGACTACTGATAATTAAAACACTGATGACATGAAGTCAGAAGAAAAACAAAAATAGTCTCTGCCCTCAAGGAGCAGACTCCTCGAGGAAAGAGTTCAGATCAAGGAAAGAGTTCAGACTCTACAGACCCCTTCTGATGACGTAACTGGAGGACTATTCATTTAATGAGATTAATTCTACCCCAACAAGACCCAAAGGGACCCTGTATATACTTGGCAAGGTACAGATAACACATTTCTCAAAATTTTAACAATCCTATTAATTTTGTAGTACAGATTTTCTTGTATGAACTTCGCTTGACAAAACTCTCTATTTTTACAGAATTTCTAAAAATTACACAAGTCAGAATTTAAAAATTTCTAGTAAAATATAAAATTTGACAACTGAAATTTCTATATTTTTTTGTTGTTCTAATAGATCTTGAGGGTAATTCTTATTTCTGAATCAATATTTTTACATGCTTATAAAAACAAAACAAAACAAGGCTCAAAACTGTGGAGAAAGGTGAAACTAAAGAATGTCTAGCCCTGGCTGGTGTGACTCGGTTGGCTGGAGCGTTGACCCGTACGCTGAGAGGTGGCGGGTTCCATTCCCAGTTAGGGGACATACCCAGGTTTCGGGTTCAATCCCTGAAGGGAATGCAACTGATCCATGCCTCTCTCTTCCTCTCTCCCTCCCTTCCTCTCTCTAAAACAAGCAAAAAAAAATATATTTAGTAAAACTGTTGTTCTTTAAGATCCAAAAATGTAGAGATCACAAGTTCACGAGTCAGACATTCTACAAATCATTTTACAAAATGTTTTGTCATTTGAAAAGATATGAAGAACTCAGTGAATTAAAAAATAAGCAGACTCCATAAAACTATGAAGTAACATAGTGGGAATATAACAGCAGGTTAGAGCGTGGGCTCTGGGATTAGAAAGAAATGGGTTTAAGTCTAAGGTTTATTATCTTCTAAGATACAGGACCTTAGACTAGTTAACTGTCTCATCTATCGAACATCTGTGAACTATCTCAGGGTCATTGTGCAGATTAAATTTAAAAATTACTATTAGTCATATAAACTGATACAACTCTTTAGAAAGGCACATTGCCAACATTCCTGAAGTGTATTCACATGGACTGTTGTTGCACGGGGGAAAAAGTTAGAAGATTGTGTAAGTTTGGGAAACTCTAGTTTACTTCAGGGCTTTTCAGTTTTTAACATGTAAATGTACATTGAATATAACATTCAGCAACTCTAGAGCTCATCTGGATCATGGTTGGCTCACCTGATCAAATACTCATCCCAGTGGGTATTTCAAAGAAATAGTGTTCCACTGAAGTCAAATTTTAAAACTGTAAATTGGGCACTATGGAGAGCTGTAAAAGTTTCACACTCTCCTGATCCAGATCAATCCTGTGGCATTTTTATAAGAATATATGAAGAAATGAAGCCATTAAGAAGATACTTTGTGTAGTGTTATTTCTACAGCAAAAATCAGATAAAATCTCAATGTCCAATGTCAGCGGAATAAACAGTAATATGCCAATGTCATCAAGTGCTAGAATGCAGACTATAGAAATGTTTGTTAAAATAAAAAGAGAGAATCCAATTTTCTATGTGTGTTAGAATTATAGCAGTATAAAAATGTGTGTATATCTACAAAGACTTGCAAGACTAATAGTGGAAAATGACACAAGTTAACGTTCCAGATAGTGGGACCGTGCTAATCCCTTTATTTAGTTTTTAATTTTTATAGCACTGTGTATACAATAGATAAAAAGAGGTTTTCTGTAAAGAAAGATACAAAGGTAAGACTATCGATTAAAAACTATTTTAATATGGCTGTTTTGCTACAGAGTTTCCTGGCAATCATTAATATTTCAATTACAGGACCATTCAAAGACTGTCAGCATGCAAAAGAGGCTGGCTATTCGATCAGTGGGATTTATATGATTAAACCTGAAAACAGCAATGGACCAATGCAGTTATGGTGTGAGAACAGTTTGGACCCTGGGGGTTGGACTGTTATTCAGAAGAGAATAGATGGCTCTGTCAACTTCTTCAGAAACTGGGACAATTATAAGGTAAATCAGTGAATCAGACCTGAGGGAGATAGAATAAAATAGCTCTTGCAAAAGTAGCCGTTCTATGCAATAAGTTACACAGTAAAAAGTAACTATCCATATGTTTCTCGTTAGCGACAGTTGTCAGAAAGATGATTCTCATCTCCAGTTTTAAAGTCAAAATTAAAATGTAAAAAGAAAACTGAACATGTCCTTTAAAATGACCCTTCAGTATGGATGGCTCACATTTATGCCATTCTTTGTGAAGACTACTCCTAATTCCATTTTCTAAGGCAATAACTTTTTTATGACCACATCTGTACCCATCATCAAGTATATTTAAGCAACAATAAAAAGTATAAGACTTTAAAAAAATGACCCTTTTTCTAGGACTAATTGCCTCTGATAATCATGCCACCGTGTTTTAAGTTGATGACACCAGAGACTGGTGCTGTTGGGAAGTAATATACACCTAGGGCCAGAATCACGCAGTGCCAGCCAGTTTTGGAAAGGCGAACAACTAGTCTTTGTTAATAATTTTGATGTTCATCATGCTAATTTTTTAATGAGTGGTATATACTTTGTTTAAGGATGGCAGATGGGAGAAACTATATTTTCTAGATGGTTAATTTTTCAATCAAAACCATGAAGTAACTGAAGTAACGTGTGATTACTCACTCTTAGGTGGTATTTTACTGACAGCTAAAAATGAGACATTAATATATCCATGTTAGAAGTTGTGTAAATTTCTAAACAAGTACTAGGAAAAAGAAATTCAGCAGCACAACCTCCTTGGTGAAGATCAGGTTTACTAAACTTCAAGTCTGCTGCATACAGGCAATGGCAGATGCTTACTGAAATAGGACAGTTAACTGATTTTTTTCAAACTTTAATATACAATTTTTCAGAGGTGGAACTTTCAAGATTATTACTTTATCTTCTCATATTTACTAATTTTATTTATAATAGAGCTCAAGAGGGTAATTTGTTTTAAGACAGATATCATTTTTATTCTATGATCACCATGCTAGGTATCCTTTTTGTTTGACTATGGTGGGGACAGTATCTATATACTTTTAGAAAAAAATGAGCTTTTTGTATGAGAGCCATCAGGAACCCTTTCCAAGGGTCTGGGTAGTTCATTAGTTAATGTTTCTAGTAGCTATGAACCACTTTTACTCTCTTTTGCCTTTATTTGTAGGGTTTGAAACTAGCTGTGCAAATAAATACTACTGGCAAATTAAGAGAAAGCAAAATAAAAGAAAGTGACCCTGTGGGGCTCATAAAGATCAGGTGATCTACTAAAATAGAAATTCATACCACCACCCAAACGACCACATCTGTACCCATCATCAAACGGCCAATATCTTTATGCTCAAATGTTTAAACGTATCTATTAAAACGTTTACTATCTCTACAATTATTTATGTACTCATGCTTTTTTTATTCACAGAAAGGGTTTGGCAACATTGACGGAGAATACTGGCTTGGATTGGAAAATATTTATATGCTTAGCAACCAAGATAATTACAAGTTGCTGATTGAATTGGAAGACTGGAGTGATAAAAAAGTCTATGCAGAATACAGCAGCTTTCGCCTGGAGCCTGAGAGTGAATTCTACAGGCTGCGCCTGGGAACGTACCAGGGAAACGCTGGCGATTCTCTCATGTGGCATAACGGCAAACAGTTCACCACCCTGGACAGAGACAAAGATACATACGCAGGTGGGCAGCAAGCACATTGACGCGCGTTCTTTAGCATCACCGCGCCCTGTGCACGACACAGAGCCGTTCGTACAGCGTGTACGATTAAAATCTTTCCAGGAAGGCCATTTTGGACTCAAAGGGAATACAACCTGGAAAGGGACAGCTTTAGTTTAGGGTCTCTTCTATAACTGTAAGGCAGTGATTTTCAACCTTTTCCGTCTCATGGCACACATAAACAAACTAATTACTAAAATTCTGTGGCACACCAGAAAATACATATTTTTTGCCAATCAGATAAAAAATAGGTATAATTTTGATTCATTCACACCGGGCAGCTATTGTTGTGGTGGCTGCTGTCATTTTTTTATTTGACAAACTAAAGGAAAAGGTCAGTGCCCTGACTAAATACCCAGGTATTGCAAGTTTTAAACATTCTTGCAGTGTACCGGCTGAAACCCCTGGTCTAAAGCAATCCCAGAGTGTGATGTCTGTGAAGAAGGGGCTGTTGGTATAACTTGGAGGGGTGGGGAATGGAAAACAGAAATGCATTCATCTGGAAGTAAAACTCTGAACTGCCTAAAATTCATAACAGACACTTACTGGACATCTCCCATGTGCCAGGCTGGTGCTGAGGACACAGCAGGGAACAAAGTTCCTCCCCTCTGGAGCTTACTCCCTAAGAGGGAGACAAATGGTTTGTCAGGTGGTGACAAGCCCTCTAAGAAAAAAAAAACCGATTAAGAGAACAGAAAGTGGTGGGTAGCGGGGTGGGGGGGGT